GGAATCACTAGGGACCATGTTTCAGTCCATAAATCATGCTTGTATGCATACACTCATCATCTCTTTCATGCTTTAGGGGAGTTGTTTTGTTGTGCCTTGAAATGAGCATTGTACATGCCTATGTGTTTTAGGCTTTGAGTTGCCATAACAGTGGGTTTTGGGACTTATTTTGGTACATTAAAACTCTGTTTTTGGTTGCATGATGCATGTCATGAGTGTTTGGGGTAGTTGTAGTAGAATGCTCATTGTTTTGGGCCTATTAGTATGCATGTTTGCGTGAACATTTATCCATCCTTTTGGCATTTTTGGTTACTGTTTTGGGAATGGGTTGAGGTCTGCCCTTTGTGTCTTAGGTCCACCATTGCATGATCATGTTGCATTGGTTTCATGTTTGCATTGTATCATACTTGCATGCTTGCATATTATTAGCTAGTTGCATTTCATGTCTTAGCTTACATGTTTGATTGCATTGCATTGCATCTTACATGCCTAGCATTGTACATTTGCATGTTTAGCTGGCATCACATTTGGCATGTTTTGCATCGGCTAAAGAGTGGTTGGCTGGATTAAACCAACTCTTAGTACTCTTTAGCTAAAGTAAGGACACTGGCTAAAGAGTGGTTGTAGACACCCTATTTTTGACCGTCCTCAAGACTTGAACGTCACCGCTCGAACACTCGGTGATTACTCATGTTTGTGTTTCGTTTTGAGTTCCCGGATTCCTTTTCAACTGCTTCCTATACCATATCCCACATCTTTTCTTCCTCCTCAGTTGTTTGGGTGTGTCTATTTTGTTCATTTGCAACCTCGTACTCACGGGAACTTGATCCTAAGGCTGTGCGTTGTGTCTTTATTGGTTATTCTGCTACTCAGAAGGGTTACAAATGCTATGATCCTCATACTCGCAAAGTGTGTATTAGTATGGATGTCACTTTTCGGGAATCTGCGTCCTTCTTTCCTTCTCCCCCGCCATCTCCTCAGAGGGAGAGTAGTAATGGTATAGATAAGATTACGAATGAGGAGATGGCCTGTTAGCACGAGTTGTCTTTTTTCCTTCCTAGTCAGTAGACTGTCGCATAACATAGTAATTCTAGGCTAATAACCGGAATAAGAACACATAACGTTTTCAAAAACGGATATCACGGTTAGTAGAGGCCGATCTTCGGATCGGGCGAGAGGGGGTGCTCATAGCTGACCTTCCCCAATCGTACCCAAGCTCCCGAGCCGAGGCAACTTTGCTGATGACGGACACGTGGCCTTTGGCACCGAGTCAAGGTTTCCTAAATTCCCCATAAAAAATATTGAGGTGGCGACTCTATATCTAGCAAAGCAGTCCATGTTTGACACTTCTTCTCTAAAAATCCGTTTTTTTTTTTTAAAACGATTTGCCGGATTTGAACTCTTTGGTTCAAGATTAAAGACCGTGACACAAATCGAGTACGAACTGTGGGTTGAGGCCCTCACGCGGGGCGCGTCCACACCTGCTTCCTTTCTTTTGGTTTCCATTTTCCCAAGTTGAGTGAGAGAGAGAGATTCTTGTAGCTCTGCTTTGTCCTCTTTTCATAGTCATACTTATTTGATGATTTTAATCTCATTGATAGGTATAATAGAGAGAGGTTGAAATCTTTTTCTTTTCTTTTCTTTTCTTTTCTTTTCTTGGATAACTCAAGAGCTTGATATCTAATTTCTATTTTATTGCAGGTGACATGGAGTTTAGGCAGAATAAGTTTTTGCTTGCTGAAAAGCAAATTGTGACTGCTAATATAAATGAGTTAAATTGGTCTCTATGAATAATGTTATAGTATTTATCATTAGAATAAAAACAAAAAATTACTGTTTTTGAAAAAAGCAGCCTTTTACAGATTGACTTAATTAAAATATTATGGATCAAAATGACCCAAGATACATTTTGAACCAAAAGTGTAATTAACATTCTTTTGTTGCAATGTAATTTCTTTATTTGATGCTAACAAAAAAACTGTTGATATGGTATTTGATGACTAACAAAAAAGATGTTGTATTTGATGCTATAGTAGTTAAATTTTTATGTTTTTTTGTAATTAACATTAACACATAATTATATTGTCATTAATTATTTTTATTTTTATTTTTCAGATATTTCTCATGTAGGAGTGTGCTTACTGTGGAATGCATGCCTGTGGAGAATATGGCTAACTTTTGTTTTTGTTATCTATGAAGAATGATGAGAAAAACATTTAATTTTGAACAAAATCATGTATTTAAACATTATATATGTATTATGGAACATTATGTAATGAGATAATTTTGTTGATGTGTAATTATGAATGGAAGAATATTTTATTATGGAGAAATTATTATTTTTATACAAGAATTTTTATATTATTATACAATTATTATGGAGAAATTTTAATATTTTTAATAATCTTATCGCAGGATGTTTTTTTCTTTTTTGTGACGGTACTACACCATCGTAAAAAATAGAAAATTTTAATATTTTTATTGATTTTGTTACAGGTTTTACTTTTTGCGACGGCACTAAACTGTCGCAAAAAATAAAAATTTTATTATTTTTTTAATACTTGCCGTCACAAAAACAGTGTTCTTGTCGTTGCAAAAAAAATTACTATTAGCGACGGTTTTTTTCGCCGTCTCAAATAACATTTTTAGCGACGGTAAAATAGTACCGCCGCAAAAAGTCAAAAAATTTTACACATTATTAGCGACTGCAAAGTGCAGTCGCAAAAGGCGAAAATGTCGTGGCAAAATATTTTGCAACGGCAAGAACACTGTTTTGCAATGTCCTCAGTTGCGACTCTCCTCTTGCCGTCGCAAAAAGTCATTTGCCGTCTTAAAAAAAATTTTGCGACAACATTAAGAATATTAACGACGACATTTTACCGTCGCAAAAAACTAAAATTTTAGTAGTGATATTCTCCAATCAAGCGTATTCCACTGAAATTATACACCTTAAAGAGACCGTTATTGCTGATTGCTGGTCAAGTCCAGTGGTGTGGGACCATCACATAGATTTTTGCATCAAAATTATTAATAATAATAATAATAAATCACAATAATTTGATGATCTTACCACATAATTTTATTATATTTATTTTTAGTAAAATATATTTTTTAAAATTATACTTATTATTAATAAATATTATAAAATTATATGATTATAATTATTTGATTAATTTTTTTTATATATAATATTTTATATGTAAGAATCTAAATAATAAACCCCTATAATAAAGATAGTCCAGTCCATTTGAATGGTTCACAATCTAACTTGCTATTAAGGGTTCGTTTGGGATATGGATTGACTTTTTGACTTTTTAATTTTTTGATATTTTTAATTTTTTTGGCCTTTTGGCTATTTTAACCTAAGACTAAAAAATCTCGTTTAGGATGAAATTTTTGAATTTTTAAAATTTTGTAAAAAAAATGTAATAATTATGAATTAAATATGATATTTTATCTTGTCTTATTGAATTAAAAAATTTATCTTATTTTAGTGACTAAAATAACCAAAAAAAAATTTTTTATATATAATATTTTATATGTAAGAATCTAAATAATAAACCCCTATAATAAAGATAGTCCAGTCCATTTGAATGGTTCACAATCTAACTTGCTATTAAGGGTTCGTTTGGGATATGGGTTGATTTTTTTACTTTTTAATTTTTTGGCATTTTTAATTTTTTTGGCCTTTTGGCTATTTTAACCTAAGGCTAAAAAATCTCGTTTAGGATGAAATTTTTGACTTTTTAAAATTTTGTAAAAAAAAATATAATAATTATGAATTAAATGTGATATTTTATCTTGTCTTATTGGATTAAAAAAATTATCTTATTTTAGTGACTAAAATAACCAAAAAAAATCCGGACTTTTTCTTCCCAAACAAAGGCTAAAACAATTCATATGTCACTTCACGAAGTTTGAAATTAATCTTTTCTTGTGAGCAATACTATAATCCAGACATAAAAATCTAAAAAATACTTGGAATTTTAAGTTACTGATTTAGATTTGCTTAAGATATGGGCCCATAACACTAACTTTAAATATCAATCATAAATTATTATTATTATTATTATTATTGTTATTATTTTTTTCAGATTCCATTTATGAGACTATAGAATTACTGTTTTCTTATTGAACAGCTTCCCCACGAGAGCAGATAGCTATAGGTGGCAAATCAACATGCAAAACGAGTTATGTAAAAAAAAAAATTAACACAAATTTATTTATTTAATGAATGAGTTCAAGTGAATTGAATCAAATTGAGTATATTTTAGACAAATCAACTCGAATATATTAGACTTTTATGTGTAATTTATTATAAATTAAAAATTAATAATCATAAAGTATAAATTAAAAGCACATTCTCTCAATTTTTAAATAATCAATTTCTTTTTAACCTTATTTAAATTATTTTTATCTAATAAATTATACAGAAATTACTCTAATAATTTGACAAAAACTCTCAAAAAAAAATAACTCAATAGCAGCCGCATTATTAAACTCTTTTTTCCGATAGTCACAATAGTGGTGGTGGTGGTGTTAAGTAAATTAAAAATTAATAATCATAAAGTATAAATTAAAAGCACATTCTCTCAATTTTTAAATAATCAATTTCTTTTTAACCTTATTTAAATTATTTTTATCTAATAAATTATACAGAAATTACACCAATAATTTGACAAAAACTCTCAAAACAAAATAACTCAAAAGCAGCCGCATTATTAAACTCTTTTTTCCAATAGTAACAATAGTGGTGGTGGTGGTGTTAAGCAAATTTTCCAAATTAAAATTAATTTGTGGGCTAACTTCCTTTTTTGTTAGGAGAGGTGCTATTAGATTTGGTGGAATCACATTGATAATTTGAATTATTTAATAATTAAATTAATTAATTTGAATTGTTCATCATAAAAGACTAATTAAAAAATCATTTATATAATTATTGATATTTAATTATTTATTTATTTTTTTAATGAATTGATTGAATCACTAAAGTGGGCACACCAAACCAAACAATTTCTCTCTGATTGGATGTCCAATTAGATGGTCAACTGTGAGAGCAGAGTCCAAAACCTATCTTTTGATGAAAAAAGAATCGAGGTTTTTAGTTGAGAGATTTCAGACCGAATATTAAAATAGAAAGAAAAAAAATATGTAAAAATAGGTGAAATATAAATATATTTTTTTTATATTTTATCTACATTTTCTTTTTCTTTTCTTTCTTTTCCAAATCTCCAGTCAAATTCTCTACCTAAATAGAGCTTAAATGAAACAAATACACCAAACACACTCCACCACTTGTACTAAACAGAGCACAGTAATCCTTAGACGAAACAGAGAGATGTTGACTAGCTACCAACAATCCCATAAAACGTGTAAAAGAACACATTAGAAGCATAATGTTTCAAACCCTCAGGACTCGCAGTGGGGTTTGATTGGCCAGAAATTTTTTTTTTTTTTTTCTTTCAATAACATTATGCTTCTGTAACTGTTTTCCTGATTATCCCCATAGTCGTAATTGTTGCCCACATTGCTTCTGTAACTGTTTTCCTGATTATCCCCATAGTCGTAATTGTTGCCCTGATCACCCCCGTAGTTCTCTTGATAATCTTCGTAATTATTTTCTTGATCATTGTAATTGTTGTCCTGATTAACCCCGTAGTTGTTCTCCTGATAATTCTCATAATTATTTTGTTGATTCCCTCGGTAGTCGTAATTGTTGCCCTGATCACCCCTATAGTTGTTCTCCTGATAATTCCCGTAATTGTTGTCTTGATTATCCATGTAATCGTAAACGTTGCCCTGATCATCTCGGTAGCCGTTGTCCTGATAATCTCCATCATTGTTGTCCTGATCATCTCCATAATCGTAATCGTTACCCTGATCACTCTCGTAGTTGTTCTCCTGATAATCTCGATAGTCATAATCATGGTTCTGATGAACCTTGTAGTTGCTCCCCTTATAAGTCCTGTAGTTGTTACTATTACTCTGATCACCTCCGTAATTGTCTTGATTATCTTGATCATCAATATCATTGGCATCGTTGCTGCTCAAATCACTCCCATAGTTGTCTTGATTATCTTGATCATCAATATCATTGGCCTGAGTAGTAGCGATACGATAATTAGTACCTCTACTTGTACTCCCATATTGTCGCTGTGGAATTGGCTCTCCAAATGCGAAAGAGAAGTCAACAAAGCCTTGCTTTTCCCCGGAGGAAGTCACAACTGGATACCGGACCGCCTGAGAAGCGGTCCCGTTACGTGATGTCATGTCGAAGAGGCGTTTGACGGAGACACAGACTCCGCCGACGTGTTTGTCACCTAAGATTCGAGTGCAATAAAAGTTGATGTTGAGATAGAGGAGGTTGTTTTGGAGAGATGGGTTATGGAGTCTGAAATCCATGCGAGTGTTCTTCCATTTGGGATTTGTCTCTCTTTCGTAATCCACTGAGGTCCTGAACTCCGACTTATGGCCCGTTGAAGGGCCGCCGGTGATGGAGATGATGGCGTAGACCTTCATCTTGCCGAAGAACCTGATGTCTCTTAGGTTTTTTGCTGAAATCCATGCGAGTGTTCTTCCATTTGGGATTTGTCTCTCTTTCGTAATCCACTGAGGTCCTGAACTCCGACTTATGGCCCGTTGAAGGGCCGCCGGTGATGGAGATGACGGCGTAGACCTTCATCTTTGCCGAAGAACCTGATGTCTCTTAGGTTTTTTGCTGAAATGTTGGTGATGACTAAAGGCTTGAAGTGTTCCATCTTTCGAAGAGAATTGAGAGAACTACAGAGAGCGCAAAGGGCCAAATGTTGGATTTATAAGATGAACAGGCTTGAAAAAAAACATTAAACAAAGACTTGGTGAAAGAAAATATAATATTATTATAATGATTATTATTATTTTATTATATACACGTAGCATGCAGACCACAGTAGATGACCATGTTTCAATATTCTTTAACTCAAACAAACCGAAAAAGAAAATTACAAACACCCCATAAAATTAGCAGTAAATAATAAATTAAAAGAACACAATACATTAAAAACTAAAAATCACCGCCATCACCATACCAACCATGGTAACCAGCCGCATCAGACGCCATCTCCCCTATCAACATCCCACCGATGAGTCCACCCACCAACCCCGCACCCAACCTGAACCTATTGTTCGTCGGTGCCTGTTGAGGTTGTTGCATTGGCAGATATCCATACCCTTGTGCCATAGGCGGGTATCCCGCTGGTAGTGGATATTTGTATCCACTCGATGCAGGAGTTGGGTATCCTACACAACCACTAGATGTAGGATACCCGTACCCTCATGCTCTCAGTGCAGGTGGAGAGTACCCTGCAGGCGGAGGAGGGTAGCCTGATGGCGGGTAGAACCCCGCCACTAATGAGGGGTACGGTTCTGTTTGCACTGGATACATATTACTACTATAAGTGTCATTTTTATAAACCGCTCCGAATTTGTAAGCAAACTTTAGTTCGCCTTTGGTTGCCGGAGGGCTTCCTAACGGGATACTCAGCCGAGACGGGGGACTTGCTATCTCCGGCATTGTTGAGGAGCCCTTTGACAGGCACGTGGACTTCTCCGACATCTTTGTCACCAAGGAGGGTCCGCTCGTGGCGGAGCATAAAGATGAGATTCAAACCGTTCATTTGAATGGCACCTTCATCGATGGTGAACTTTCTGGGGTAGTTCCAGGAGGGAGTGGACCCACCATCCTTGTCGACCGGAGTTTTTTGGTGAGTACATGGATTGCCGGAGATAGCGACGGAGACATAGACATCCATCTTGGAGAAGTGGCCGACGTCTTTGAGGCCTTTAGCCCAGACTATTGTTATCTCTAACTGTCTCTCCATTTTTACTTGAATTATGACGAACCACATTTGGAGATTGACCACACGATGGTTGATTTATACGTGAACTATGAGAGTTGACTTTGGAGCTGTTTAGACTATAGAGATTTGACCTGAAATTTGGAGTTTTATGCTCCCATTCCATTTTATTGATCTACTATTCCATTTTGAAATGTCTCAAAATAATACTATTATTTAAAAAGTCAAAGTAAAAAGTATTTGATTTTTTAAAATTATCTCTTTTGAGTAATTATAAATATATTTTAAAAAAATTAAGAAATAGAGACATTAGTAAAAAAATGTTAAAATTCCTAGAAAGTACCAGTAAATTGAGACAGAAGGAGTATCAAATTATAGAGAGTTGAATTTATGAGTACTGTGTGTTTTGTGTGTTAATTTTTGTTTTTTTTTTTTTAAACAAAAAAATCTAATTAAATTCAGAAGTACTCGAAGGACAATCATTAAAATTCTATAAGACAAATCAACAATGATTCATCCCCTTTTTCCCCCACCCCTTTGACCCCCTCTCTCTCATTGGTTACATTTTCTTTTTCTTTTTCTTTTTTTTCCTGCTCCTCCAATCACCACCCGCCACATGACAAAAGGGGGGTGAGGGAGTAACCCCAAAAGGGGGTCCCAAGCATTATTCAAGACAAATTCTACAAACAATATTATTGACAGAGGACAATTCATGGATCGGCTATAATTTCAGGCTGAGCCCAACCTACCCCACGTTGTGGCCCCAAAATTAAATCAATATTCAACATTATGAATTTATGAACTGCCTCTTGAATTGACTCAAACAAAGCAAGTTGTTAGTTGATTTCCTTTTTTTAAACTTCCCCAGCCAAAAAAATTATAAAGATTCCATTTTTGTTAAAATTCTATTGTGTGAGGACATATCTTCTCTTCTTATGAAAGTGAGCTGTGTACTCCTATTCAAGAGAAAATTATGTTCAATCGCATAATTTTCACTTCAAAAAAATTGGAATTGAATTTACTATTTTAACAAATAAAAAAAAAATGTTTTATTTTACATGAGAATGAGTGAGAGATGTCTCGACCTTACTTGGACCAACTAAGGCTATAAGAAATATGAATAAGCCTAAAAACAAATAGAAGAATTACATAGTCGGATTATATAAGATTCCCAGATGTATACCATCAATAAATTTTGCAAAATTTTATCAGTTCATATATATTTTGTATTTAGTTCTATAATCTATTTGTGCGTTTTTTTAACATAACTGAAAAGAGTATATTCAACAAGGGTAATGCAAATGACTGCTTGTTACTAAAGTGGTGGTGGAGGTATGGGGTGGAGGATGAGTCACTGTGGAAGAGGGTGATTGTTAGCAAGTATGGGGCTGATGGAGGCAGGTGGCTACCACTACAGAATGGGGAAGGCAAGGAATCTGTTGTGTGGAGTGATATCCTGAGTGTGGCTGCATTAAATCCTGAGTTGTTCCAATTTTTTGCCTCTAAATTCCAGATTGTGGTAGGAAATGGGAGGAGGATTCTGTTTTGGCATGATAGGTGGTGCATGAATTTGAAGTTGAAAGAGGAATTTCCTAGGTTATTCAGGCTTTCTATGGAGAAAGAAGAAAAGCTTAGTTATTTTATGCAGAGGAGGGATAGGGATGGTCCTTGGAGGCTACAGTTTAGAAGATCCCTGTTTTCTTGGGAGGAAGAGGAGGTCGGAAAGTTGTGTTTAGACTATAGAGATTTGACCTGAAATTTGGAGTTTTATGCTCCCATTCCATTTTATTGATCTACTATTCCATTTTGAAATGTCTCAAAATGATACTATTATTTAAAAAGTCAAAGTAAAAAATATTTAATTTTTTAAAATTACTTCTTTTGAATAATTATAAATATATTTTAAAAAAATTAAGAAATAGAGACATTAGTAAAAAAATGTTAAAATTCCTAGAAAGTACCAGTAAATTGAGACAGAAGGAGTATCAAATTATAGAGAGTTGAATTTATGAGTACTGTGTGTTTTGTGTGTTAATTTTTGTTTTTTTTTTTTTAAACAAAAAAATCTAATTAAATTCAGAAGTACTCGAAGGACAATCATTAAAATTCTATAAGACAAATTCTACAAACAATATTATTGACAGGACAATTCATGGATCGGCTATAATTTCAGGCTGAGCCCAACCTACCCCACGTTGTGGCCCCAAAATTAAATCAATATTCAACATTATGAATTTATGAACTGCCTCTTGAATTGACTCAAACAAAGCAAGTTGTTAGTTGATTTCCTTTTTTTAAACTTCCCCAGCCAAAAAAATTATAAAGATTCCATTTTTGTTAAAATTCTATTGTGTGAGGACATATCTTCTCTTCTTATGAAAGTGAGCTGTGTACTCCTATTCAAGAGAAAATTATGTTCAATCGCATAATTTTCACTTCAAAAAAATTGGAATTGAATTTACTATTTTAACAAATAAAAAAAAAGTTTTATTTTACATGAGAACGAGTGAGAGATGTCTCGACCTTACTTGGACCAACTAAGGCTATAAGAAATATGAATAAGCCTAAAAACAAATAGAAGAATTACATAATCGGATTATATAAGATTCCCAGATGTATACCATCAACAAATTTTGCAAAATTTTATCAGTTCATATATATTTTGTATTTAGTTCTATAATCTATTTGTGTGTTCTTTTAACATAACTGAAAAGAGTATATTCAACAAGGGAAGGAAGGAAGTAACAAAACAGAGTTAAGTAAGTACAAGGAATAAGTGCAAGGGAGGTTGATCCCTTCTTTTTGCAGTTTCACTTTGGTTATAAAAACTTTATTTCCCCCAAAAGTTGGTACTTTGTTCACAGACATGGGTTTGGTTTCCCTATTTATTGTGTTTCTCAACTTTTCTGTTTTTACGCTTCTACTTTTGATCATTGAGATGGGTTTAAGGCTAAGAAAACCTCAATCCGATGTATTCTTTGAAGGTCTCTCTTTCTCATGCACTCACAAATTTTTTTTTTTACTTATTTGAGAGTATTGGAAAAAATAAAGTGGATAAGATCGAATTTTATTTTATATTGACATGTTGAAGTAAATGTTGATTTGGGTTCATTTTGGTTTGATGATTTTCTTTTAGGAAGAGATATTCCACTATCACACTACTCCTTCAAAATTCAGTCATTTTCATCGCTTTCCAAAACTTCGATAGAGAAATACAGTTCAGACAAGTTTGAAGCTGGTGATTACAAATGGCATCTATCTATATATATTTTTATGTTCATACAACTCTTCTTCCCTAATTCACCCTTTTGAGATTTTTTTTAATGAAACAAAAATTTAAAAACTTTTAATTCTGATCAATAATTTGACAAATTTGGCACATCAAATTTTGGCAGGAAATTATCTATTTACCCAAATGGGAACAAGGATAGAGATGGGCAAGGCCATGTTTCCATATCTTTGACATTGGTGGATGCAAGTTCTCTCCTTGCTGGTTGGGAGGTTAAAGCCATTGTCAATTTTTTTGTATTTGATCAAGTTGGGGACAAGTATTATACACTCTCAGGTTTACATGTCTTAAATTACTTCATTATACACTTCATATATATTTTAGTTGTACAATTTTTTGTGTTTATTTTGTGATTCATTTTATAATTTAACTAATGTAATAATGCAGCCCGAAAAGTAAGGTAACATGCAATGCAAACAGAATTGGGAGTACCAAAGTTCATCAATCTAGAAGTGTTTAGTGATTCTTCAAATGGGTACCTTGTCAATGGCACTTGCGTGTTTGGAATCGACATTTTTATTCTCAAACAAATATGCAAAGGAGAGTACTTGTCAATGGTGAAAGAAATCGTGACTGGTAGTTATATATGGAACATTAAATCATTTCCAACCTTAAACCTTTTTTTGATCAGCAAAGAAAAAGGAACTTTATTGATGAATTATAAGATAATAACATCAATAAAAAAGAAGAGAAAGATGAGTGGAAAAAATATCATAACGAACCAAATCAATCCCAACTTGGTTGGCACCGATAAGACCGCCCATCATATGCTAACACACCATCAAGAGTTGGTGACTAACCAACCACAAACACCGAAGCCAACCTCACCCAAGCAGAAGAAAACCAAAACTAAACCAAAAAAAGCAACCCAAAACTAACAAACAGATAGAAAAACAAGACAATCAAAAAAAGAAAAACTGCTGCAGCAGGCCAGAGCAAAACAAACAACAAACCATAGCAACAAAACAGGAGCAGAACACCATCAATCCATAGCATCACATTTCCAACCTTAAACCTTGATCGATACGAGTCTGAGGCATTCATTATTGGAGATTATAAATGGTATGTATGAAACTCTATCTTTTCCCTTTCAAATGCAGAAGTAAAAAGAAGTTTAAAAAAAAAAATTTATCATAAAAGTTGCAAGAAAATGAAGATTGTGGTGTCATTCATTTAAAAAAAAGAAATTATGAAATTGTATAATCACGATTATCAGAATAATATTATGTTGATGCATTATGGACACACTACAAAAAAATTACTTTTTTGCGACGGTAAAATACAGTCGCAAATACCCAAAACGTCGTCTCAAAAGCTTTTTTGCGACGGCAGCTGGCTTTTAGCGACAGTAAGAGGGGGGTCGCAACAAAAGGGGTTGCTAAAGGCCTTTAGCAACGGTGTGACGCCATCGCAAAATGTAGGCGGCGGCAAAAATGCCTTTTAGCGATGGCAAAATACTGTCGCCATTAATGTATAAAAATTTGAAGTTTTTGATACGGCGCTGTGGTGCCGTCGCTAAAATGGTTATTTGCGACGGCAAAAATACCACGTGGAAATGAAGATGGGAAGGGAAATAGTATTTCAATGTTTCTATGTTTGGACCAAACAACTCTTCCACCTAATACTAGGCTCTTTGTCAAATTTGTCCTTCATGTCACAACCCAAACTCCAACCAAATCAGATGACTTTGAATTTAAAGGTGAGATTTATCTACTATGTAATGAATTTTTTATGTTCTATAGAGTTAATTTTGAGTTTGGTTTTTGTTTTATTGAAGTTGAGAATCATTTTGGACCATCATGCTTGGCTTGGAGGGCAGAGAAGTTCATGTCAATTGTTAAACTCAACGACCCAAAGAAGGGTTACTTGGTGGGCGACACTTGCATCGTCGAAGCAAATGTTACTTTTGATTGGAGAAGTGACCACACCATCTTAATTAAGAATTGTTCTTCTCATTTCTTTTTAATGTATGTAAATTATAATTAACATGAACTCCTACCCTAACTAGCTTGGCTAAATTAAGTCGGAGCTAATTTTAGAGAGTTTTGTTAGGAATATTGTGACCAAAATATATGTATTTTAATACAGCAATACTAAGTACTAATAAATATTCAGAATTGTAAATTTGTGGTTGGAATTTATTTTAGGTATGACTCACACTATATTCATTTTAAATTTACACAGTACATTTAAATTTTGATTAAAATTTTGAATACAATATTTTTATTTATTTATTAATGAGGGATACTATTAGCACCTTCATTAATTATTTTAGACTCTCCATTTTTTTAGTTTTTTTTATTTTTTATTACAATAATAACGTCAAATGAAATTACTAAAAAAGACATCAGTAGTTTTGGGACATCCTATCTCACAATTAAGCCCACACACCCACTATATCATGAGTTAGGGTTTTTGAAAGCATCCACCTCCATCACCTTCCATCAATCTTCTCCAAATTCCACCTTCAAAATCTACCCACCCTCAAAACCTTGAAAACCTTTTGGCGACAATATTTCGGCGGTAACAATGGCAACTATTTGTTTACCTACACTTCTCTAGCAATAATAATGACTGAAAGTTTTTCCGGCAACCACACAACTCCATGAGGCGAAAGGAATACAATAATAAAAACTCAAAGGAGATTCATATATTTGATGGTATTCTTAGCTCATAAGAAATTAGCCTTATAAGGGTAAATTTCTTTAAAAAAAATGGCAAAAATAATAAAAATTGTTCATTATTTTTTTGGAGCTGAACTCTCGAACATATGACCTAAAATTGGGAACACAAACCCAAATATTGTTTATTTGTTCGGGAACATGTAACCAAATATTTCTTATTTGTTTTAGAACAGATAACCGAAACTCGTGGAGATTGCAGAACCTACAAAAGAGAAATTTTGAATCAACAACAAAAAAACCTTACATTTCTTTTCTCAGGTCATGAATAGGTATGTGGAGATGAAGTAGTAATCATCTTTGTAAGTTTCATTAGAGCTTTTAGGAGAGAGACTTTTTACGGTGTGAGGGTGTGCATTCAATTAAATGGGTGGAATTCTTTCATAAGAATAATTTTGGTATTATTTAGGGAGAGAAAAGAAATTTTAAAAATTTTAGAATTTATAAATAGGGCTCCAAAAAAATAAGAAGTCTAAAATAATTGATAGAGTGTTAATAACAGCACTCTTATTAATATATGTACTAAGCTTTATATGTTAAGTATCAAATTAAACTCATGTGGGACCCTAAAAAAAAGGTATGCACTTTGAAAATACACCAAAGTCTTATCAAAATTGCTTCAAGTAAAAGGTGGTGGAAATAGAAAAATTCTATCTAATCATAATTTTTATTCAAAAAAAAAAATGATTACAGCTTCAATATAGGGTGTATTTAAATTTAGTGTAGTGTGAATTAAGTCAAAATAAATTTTATTTACACATTTAAAATATAAAATTTCATTTAAATAAAAATTCTAAATATGTGATATTAAAGAGAAGGGCAATAAGTTTGGTGTGTCAGCCATTGCCAATGGACCATAGCCCAATTCTCCTTTTCCCATTCCTGTACCATGTTTTTATTTGTTGGGCTTGTTAGGCCCATTACCTCAAAAACATTTTATTGCCATTGTTAGAGGAAAGCTTAGAGCATTAGCAGTGGACATGATAGTCCATCTATTAATGTCAGCTGTTAAATTTTAGCCAGTCAATTTCACTTTAAGCTTTATAGTGGAGCAGCTAAGGACAATATTAGTGTCAGATGTTAAATAGTGTATTAACTGCAGCTAGTGTTTTAGCCAGCGAGGAAGAGAGAGGAAAGTGTCATGGGATAATGTCTGACCGGTCGTTTCTCCAGACATCCGGACCTTCAAGAAAAAAAAATTGCAGAGTTTTTTTTGGGCGGCCGGATGATTTTATAGCTGGCCGGCTTATTACCAAGCAAAGATGCATTGACAAAATGAAAAAAAGAAAGAAGGACTGACAGTGCAGTGGGATGGGGTGGGGTGGAGGCCCACTGCACTTTTCAATTATTTTATATTTTATTTATTATATATATATATATTCTTAACAAATACCTTAACACATCCATTATATCACTATTCACTCACTAAATTAACAAATTCTTAACACATATTTTTAAGTCCTATTTTTATCACTTTTTATCATATAACACATTTTAACACACATTTTTAATACATCCATTGTGGGATGCTTTCATGCAGTACGCTACATGACATCAAGTATTTAAATTTGTAATCATCCAAACCGTACCTTTCCATCAGATCAAAGAGCAAATGAGAAAAGATCCACCATCTTCCTTCAGTTCACGATTCAGATTTAACACAAAAATCATATGCGCTCCACAAGATGAGAGAGTACTAAAGCATTTTAATTAGGGTAACACCCAATCTCTTCAATAATTGCCCACGAAGAAAACCTCCGCGCAATATTTTGAACTTTCTTCTCCACCACTTTTCTTTCTGTTTCTCTTTCCTTCATTCTAAAATTCCAAAAATCACATATATATATATATGGGGGGGTTCAAGGTTAGGAAGGTGATTAGAGAGACAAAACTATGTTAATGGTCCATTAATGGTGGAAGTGGCTGGAGAATGAGTAGCAGCGACTATCTGGGAGTTGGAGAGTGTGTAGTTGGGTGAGGGTGAAACAAGTGGCTTAAAAAGAAATGTCTGGCAATACCAAAATGGGCAGCATCTCCCCCAAATCTCCAAAATTCCTTTCTTTGGACTTTGGGAAATAGGTCCTGTTTATAAGCTTTTCTTTGGTACCAAGAGGACACTAAGTGGCCAAATAGAGAGAAGACATGTGTCTCTAAGGATCACATAGAATATTCTGCCTTGAGTCACCAGACTGAAAGTGCTACGTGTCCCTCTGCATGTACTGTGTACTACTTATTTGCCTCCGCAACTACCTTTTTTAGCCTCAGCAAGTGTAGTTGCGACGAGAGTGTTTGGCGCTGTGACTCCCTTTTGAGCCTCAGCAAGTGTAGTTGTAGCGGGAGTGTTTGCCTATACACTTGCCTTCTCAGCTTGAACCTCAGCAAGTGCACTTGCAGCGGTGAACCTTGCTGCTGCACTTGCCTTCTCAGTTCTATTTGGCCAGTATATGCATTCTCAGGACTCCATTAGCCTACTATTAACTATGTTCGTGCTCACCTCAGCGAAGCCTCCACTCTTAGCCACCTAACCACAAACTCCCCAGCTTCCCAAGGTGAAAGCCACAGCCAAGCTTGCTATCAGCCATGTTGTGCCTTAGT